TCCGCTTTACAATGAAGAATCTCTCAATCTACTGAAGTCTATTCTCATAGATAACTCCTATCCGGCATCCATTATCAATAAATTTCTATATTCCAAAAGCTATGGGCAGTCCATCACTGAAACACCCAATGGGCTAACATTAGCGTCCATTTCTAACAGAATACAAATGAATGAGTCTCCTCTCACTCCTGAACAAACCATAAAATATGCTTCGCTACCGTACTTCCCACAAATCACGAACAAGCTAATCAAACTTTTCCAAAACTTACCTATCAAAATAGCTTTAAAAAACACCAGAACCGTAGGAAAGTTATTTTCTAAGACCAAAACTCCATTGTGTGCACAGGAGTGCAACTCCTGCTACATTGGCCAGACCAGCCGTTCTCTTCAAGGTCGACTAACGTCCCATAAAAGCGACATTAGGATTTCAAAACCATCCTGTGCCCTTGCACAACATGCCATTTTAACCAAACACAGTATCGACTTCAGTAATACCAAAATACTGTGCAAACAAAAAAATTATCATAAGCGATCTATCCTTGAAATGTGTCAAATTCTTAAACATCCATCATCCCTAAATAAAAGAACCGACATCGACAACTTGAGCCAGATATATCACTCTCTCATCATACACAACAAATAATAAAAAAAAAATTAATTCCCCTTCTTCTTTCCCTATTTTTAAAAATTTTTTTTGTTTTTTTTGTTTGTTTGTTTTTTAAAGACAAAGGACGAGGAAAAAAGAAAAGAAGGGAAAAAAATATTCCTTTTTAAAAATAGGGCTGTCCCCGTTCTGATTACTAACTTTTTTAATAATTGTACCTTACTGCTTTCCAAAGAAACACATGTACGACACATGCCACATGTGCAAATATGACAGCCTACAACCGATAGAAAACAATCCAAGAGATTATTGTGTTGGATCGTCGAAAGAGCTTACACCCACACTGAGATGAAGCCATCGGTAAAAATTAAATAAACAATAGTGCTCTTTCAGTTTTTTCTTGTGTGTTTTTTGTTTCGATTCTATCGTTTAGTTTTAAATTTTTTAATGTTAAGTTATCGTAGAGTGTTTTTAACATCTTTAAAAAAACTTACAAATTGTTTTTGTAAGTATGAACCCTTTTGGTTATTTACTTATATTTTAAATCTTTTTATTTTTATTTGTAGTGAACTGATGATGCTTTTGAAAACAAGAAAGCGAAACGTATTCAATTAAATCAATGAAGTAGCTGACGACTTTCATTTGCCTATTATTGACCGATACAACCTCTGCTATTCAACTATTGAATATATTTTAAATTTAATTAACGGTCGTATTTTTTGCTATATATATATATATATATATATATATATATATATATATATATATATACATATATATATATATATATATATATACATATATATATATATATATATATACATATACATATATATATATATATATATATATATATATATATATATATATATATATATATATTATACATGATACAAAATGGAAAACATATATAGGAAATGCTATGACAGATAGAGACCTCAGAGAAGGTGACTGGGAGAATAGAGTGCTGTGTAGGACGAAAATAGCAAACTCATAATGGGAAAAAAAAACCTAGAAGACGAAGACATTCATCGTTAGCATACACTTAACACCAAGGAATTCGTCTTCTTGATGTACCTATTCGTGACGAATGTTGACGATCATCATGTCAATTTTTATCTTGCCTGTAGCAACGCGAAATACCTGTACAGATGTTGTGTTGAAACAGTTTGTGAGGTTCTTTAACTAGAATATTGTCCTTCTTCCTGGACCTTGCCTTCCAAATATTGTTTCATTGTTTCCAAATATTATTATTATTTGATGGTGTTCAGTACCTCTCGGTTGTTCTTAATTTTTCTGAGGACCTCTTTATTTGTAATTTGGTCAGGTCACCAAGGAATATCACATCGTACTTTCCTTTTTAATGAAATTATAGAACGTTATGAAAATAAATAAGAGCAAAGTCGTGAGCCCTGATGAAATACTAATTTCATACAGTTTTTCTTACACTTGTCACTAGTTATGACAACATCAGATTCTCCTAATTTATATAAAAAAATAAAAAAGATATATCCTTGCTATCGTTTAGAAGAGAATTGGCCCAAGTTATGGAAGTCCTCCTTTATTTACAGGAAGACCTATTCTACATAGACAGAACTTGCGAGATCTTCGTTTTGATTGCATAGACCATTTCGTTACACCAAGCAGTAGAAGGCGATGTCCTGATGACGGATGTACATCTGGACGAACAATGTGCCAAAAATACAACGTTGGTTTGGGAGTTAATTGTTTTATAAGATACCACATCAGACAATGAAAATATTAAAAAAAAATTTTGATTTCAACGATCCCCAGCGTTATATGGTAACACCATATAATTAAAAAAAAAAGACATGAAACCGAAAAACTTTTTTTTTTGATTAAATTATTATAGTGTATTTTTATGTATGAGAGAGTAATAAAACAATAAATTATGTATGCAAATCCCTAAACTGTTGATACGGGTGACTCAATGAAAAACAGATATTTGTCAACAAGTTTACAGAAGTATATAGGAAAACAATTTTAAATTGAGTATAACCACCAGGTATAAAGGTTGGAGCAGAATAGAATACAATAGTTGTGATGGTTACTAATCCCTAAATAAGTTGCAAGTGTCGGAGTGATGGAGGTTAACAGGTACTAATGAATTTGCAAGAAATGTAAGATGTTTATTTTATTGGTTATATATAACCAATAAAAGTTTAATAAGTACCTACCTATTTGCAAAATAAAGCTTAATTCTTTAGATAAAATAAAACGTTTTATTTTATCTGAAATGAGTGCATTCCACGAAGTAAGGGTTTCAACAATCAAACATTTAATTCTTTAATTCCAGGAATCTACGACAGTAATTGACTAGATAATTACCTTCTAAACTTATTCCACAGAAAATGTGATAGTGGGTTTTTCCATTTTGTAGGAAGGTCCAAGTGGCGTATTCAAAATTCTTAACAGTTCACTAAAAGTAGGTACTTCAGTTGCAAGGTGCAGTTTATTGTGTATACTAGTGTTATGGAAAATTTGGAAGTGCCGTGTAAACGCTGAAAAATTGGTCCTTTAACAGTTAATGAAAAAACATTAATATTTAATTGTTTTAAATCATTTACAGACAAACGTTTATGTGAAAGTGTTGATGAGCCGTTGAGTTAGTTAGCAGTACACTTGGTGTTGGGAAATCTACGATTTACAGAGCTATTAAAGAAGAGAAATGTGGTAGTTTTCAAATGCCACGTAATGCTCCAGGGAAACTAAAATTTCAAATAGAATATCATTTTAAAGAAGGACTTCGACGGAAAGTGCATGAATTCTTCTTTAGACAAGAATTTCCAACATTGGATAAAGTTCTTGTCTCAGTTCGAGATGATAAGGATTACCCAGAAATGAGTCGAAGTACGTTATGGAAACTTTTAAAAGAAATAGGCTTCCGCTGGAAAAAGAATCCCAGAAAGTCTATTTTATTAGAAAGAAGCGATATTGTCATATGGAGAAGACATTTTCTAAGAACCATAAAGGAAATGAGAAACCAAAAAAGAAAAATATTTTATCTTGATGAAACATGGATCAACGAGGTTCATACACCAAATAAATTTTGGCAGGATGAAACTGTTACAAGTCAAAGGCACGCTTTTGTAAATAACTTATCTACTGGTTTAAACCCACAATCAGGAAAGGGACGCAGGCTGATAATAGTACACATTGGCAGTTCAGATGGTTTTGTTGAAGGTGGTTTATTAACTTTTGAATCAACTCGTACCGGTGACTACCATGAAGACATGAACGCTGATGTCTTTCAAGAATGGTTCGAACAAATGATAGATCTTCTTCCTAAGAAATGTGTAATAGTAATGGATAATGCAAGTTATCACTCCAGACTTATAGAAGGACTGCCCATAACCAAGTGGTTAAAAAAAGACTTGCAGAATTGGCTGAGTTCAAAAAATATTACGTACCATCCCGGATCTATAAGAAAGGAACTTTATTCGTTGTGTGCCCTTCATAAAGAAAAATTTTAAAAATACGAAATTGATGAAATTGCCAAAAATCGTGGAATGACAGTACTTAGATCCCCACCATATCATTGTGAATTAAACCCGATTGAACTGGTATGGGCACAGATAAAGAGTGAAGTTTCAAGAAAAAATACCACTTTTAAAATTCATTATGTTAAACAGTTGTTTTTGGAGGCCGTAAATAATGTAAAACCTGAAAATTGGGAAAAGGCAGTAAATCACACTATTAAAGAAGAGGAGAAAATGTGGAAGCTGGACAATATTACTGATAAAATGATCGAGCCAGTTATTATAAATCTTGGTTCTGAAAGTTCATCTTCCGAATCTGATTTGGATTTGTAACAAGTAGCTGTAAGTTTTATATTAATATTTTTATTCATCTATTTAACATACCTTAGACGGTTTTAAAAACTCTTTTTCTCTTTTGTAATTTTTCAAAATTAAAAAAAATGTGAATTTTTTAAAACCCTTTTTAATGTAGGCCAGTCAGTTCTAATATAGTGTGTGATAAAAGAGGTCACTTTTGTTTACATACACATAACACTTTATAACACTGAAATAATTCATTTATTTTTTACAATTATTCAAAGTAATTTTTCAATTAATCTTGAGCACGCCCATGGAGTGGTCGAAGGTACCAGTTAAAATTATGCTAATTACTCTCTCGTTCATTAAAATAAACTATAACATTTTCATCTAATTAACCCCAAAAGTAAAGATTTTCAAAAAAAGCAAAACTTAGGCGTTTATATTATAATAAAGGCTTCGCTTCAATAATGGAACAATATTTTTGAAGTGAATGTTTTATTAAGTCATTTTACTGTTTTTATACAAGAAATAAAAGATACAAAAAAAGTTTTAAATAAAGTTTTATTTATTATTTCATAATAAATATGTCCCTACATCTATATTGCCCATACTCTGACGTAATCTACTTTAAGATGAGAATCGTCTGTGCCCAAATTCCACGTTGGCATCCACTGCTGCCTGTTCCTCCAAAAATCTGTCATACCAATACGGTAAGGAGAAGTATGAGACCACGGCTTTTTACCTGATCTATTATCAGCTTCATCAGGAAAGAAGTATCCCCCAACAGCCAAATTAAGAATTAAGTGAAATTCAGCATCGAAAGGCGCCATTTTGCTTGATCCTTTCCATAGATTAGGTAATCCAGTCTGTTGTAAATTTCCAAGTTCCCAGAATCCGCCAGAAGGTGGTACAACTTTTCCAATTTCTCTATCATCTAAAGAAAATTTTATAAAATCGGGTGTCCACTCCACTTGATATTTATGATATGCGTGATCAAAACCTTCAGGTAAGGTTGTTTCGTAGTGAGTTTGAGCATAGCGATTGGTTTGTGCATTTGCGCCCCAATGTAGAGTAGTACTTAATAAGGGTGTACCAATATTTTGTCCATCAGGTTTTATCAGTTCTTTGTTTCCTCTTGTTTCCATAATATCTATTTCTCCAGATGAAATCCAATCTCCGTTTTCTATCCATTTATTAGGTAGCAACCAAATTGCTAAAACACAAAAATATTCACATATTACAATATAAAATATACAAAATTCACAACGTGCAATATAGTCTAGTGACCAAACGTGGCCTCTTTAATTCTGATGGGCCCAACCAAGTTTTTTTTATGTATTTTTGGCTGCTTATTACAAATTTCGAGGGTGGATTTCGATCCGAGGTATTAAAGAATTGTTATAAATAATTTAATTGTTTATAAGGCTCTAGCTCGTAAACTAAAAGAGATAAAAAAATTTCAATTAAAATTTTGTTCCTTGAAAAAATAAGAAAAATGGCGTTTACTAAATTTGTAAATGGTTGCAAAAATAAGTATTTTTCATACTTAAAACATGTAAACACTTAATACATAAAAAAAAAATTGGTGGACCCATCAGAAAAAGCCTCGGTGACCTATCCTAGCTCCTAGACTTCTTCTTCTTCACGTGCCATCTCCGCTACGAAGGTTGGCTATCATCATGGCAATTTTGACCCTGGAGGCTGCCGCTCGGAACAATTGTATGGAAGTGCAAGCAAACCACTCCCTGAGGTTTCTCAACCATGACATTCTTCTCCTACCTATGCTGCGCCTACCTTCAATCTTTCCTTGCATAATTAGTTGTAACAGTTGATATTTATTCCCACGTGTAATATGTCCCAGGTATTGTAGTTTTCCTCATTTTAACACTCAATACGACCTCCTTTTGTTTGTCCATCCCAATTTATACGTCCATGGTTCATCCTGTCTAATACAACTTGGTTAGTTATCTTATCCTTCCAGGAGATTTTTAACATTCTTCGGTACGCCCACATCTCAAATGCCTCCAGCTTACCCATACATTGCTTATTTAGTGTCCACGCCTCTACCCCATATAACAGGACCGAGAAAACATAACATTTAGGCATTCGTATTTTCAGCTTTAGGCTTAGGTTTCGGCTACACAACATTTGTTTCATGTTGTTAAAGGCACTGCGGGCTTTCTCTATTCTTATTCTTATTTCTCTGGTGTATTCGTTTGACTCGTTAATATTTGTTCCGAGGTAATTGTAATTTTGTACTCGTTCAATGAGATTCTGTAATACATGTAAGTTGATATTATTGATACGTTTCTTTTGTAATTATCATGAATTTGGTCTTCTTTGTATTCAGTGACAGACCAAATTCTTCACTTGCTTCTACCACTTTGTTTAGTAATCTCTGTAGGTCGTCAATATTTTCTGCTATGAGCGCGGTATCATCAGCATATCGGATATTGCAAATGGGGTGACCGTTGATCTTTACTCCGGCTTTTTCGTTCACAAGAGCTTTTTTAATAACTTCTTCCGCGTAGACATTGAACAAGGTTGGAGACAACACACAGCCCTGCCGAACACCTCTTTTGATCTGTATTCTATCTGATATCAAGCTGTTAATTCGTACTGTAGCTTCTTGTTTGTAGTATAGATTCCTTATCACTCGCATGTCCCTTGTATCAATATTTTTATTTTCCAGTATTTGCATCAGTGGCCTATGTTTTACTGTATCAAATGCTTTGTTATAGTCTAGGAAACACACAAATATTTCCTGATTTACATCTAAACATGGTTGTGTTAGAACATTAAAAGCAAACAGTGCCTCTCTAGTTCCTAGTCCGTCTCTAAAGCCAAATTGAGAGGGTCCGATGTCAACTTCCAATTTTTTATATATTCTCCGATGAATGATTTTTAAGAAGACCTTTAATATATGACACATGAGATTGATGGTGCGATGTTCCGAGCATTGTCTCGCATTAGAATTTTTGGGTATGGCCATTATTGTTGTTACTAGCCATTCATTAGGGATGATACCAGATTTGTAAATGCTGTTAAATAGTTCCACGATCTTTATTAAGTTGTTGCCTTTAATGAGTTTAATTATGTCTATTGGTAGTTCATCTGGGCCTGTAGCCTTCCCCGACCTCATTTCTTTAATCGTGTATTCCACTTCATCTCTTGTTATTTCTGGTCCTGTGTCACTGTTTATGTATTCGTTATCTACATTGTCTCTTTGATCTTTAAACAGTTGTTCTATGTACTGTTTCCAGACTCTTAATTTTTCTTCTGTGTCCATAATAATGTTTCCACTCTCGTCTACTAATATGTTGTGTCTGTTACTTTGTCTCCTCGTCAACTCTTTGATCTTCCGATGTGCATTAAAGCTGTTGTGTTTATTTTGTAGTTGTTCGATTTCTTCGCATTTTTCCCTGTACCAGTTTTCTTTAGCTGTGCGTATTTTTAGACGAATTTCTTTTTCTATCTCTTTATACTTCTGGTTATTTTTGTTTTTCTGTTTTCTTCTTTCATCCATTAAGTTCAGTATCTCATCTGTCATCCATTCTTTTTTATATTCTTTACTTTTATGGAGGTGACTTATGCTTGGTTTTATTAACGCTGTTTTAATCCTAGAGTCCTAGACTGATAGACGATATAAATCTGGAGTTGCTAGTATAAAAACTTCATTCAAAAGCAACATTAAAGGTATTAGATAGAAAGAAGATAGATATATAAAATAACAAAGAATACGTAGAAGAACATAGAACAAACCAACAAATTCTACTAAATTTTTCTCCAAAACGTTAAGGAAGCAACTTAGTAGTAGTTAACAACAAATAAAGATCTTAAAGACTAATCTTAACTAAAATAATTAACTTAAAAAAAACCATAACACAGAAACTGCCGCATTTTTTTTGAAGATTTCAAGCAAATTTAGCTGTTATTTTGCGTTTAACATTTTGGATTTTAATGAATCTAACCTTTCGAGGATGGCTGAATGACGAAAGTCTATGCCACAAAAAAAAATTAAATGAAAATGTCCAAAGAAAATCTTAATCATTGTAAATTGTAAGGCTTTTTTATTTCTAAAACATTAAACAGAAACAATTACGTTATATCTAAGCTGAAACTATCGTATAAAAATAATATATATTATAGTATATAATATGCCTACCTGGCCATAACCAATCTCCTGTTGGAACTTTAGCCCTAACTTCAACTTTGCCATATATAAATGAAAAGGTATCTAATGTTCTAAGACGAGCACTTTTTACTGGATTTAGTATTTCAGATGGTGAGCCTGTTCTTTTACAACCAAAATTATGTGGATTAGTACACCTAAAATAACAAATAAAGAACACAAATTTATATGTACCTAATTAAATAAATTTAGATTAAAGCAAGAGTTTACAAGAATAATTAACTTAAACAGCTTTACAAAATAATAATAATAATAATAGGATCATCATCAACATTAGCCGTTTTAAGTCCACTGCTGAACACAGACCTTCCGAAAAAAATTCCATCCGATCTTGTTTAACTTGAATCCAGTTGTGCTGAATGCGCTTGATGTCGGACGACAAGGTCGATCAAGCGACAGCATCAAGTGTCTAGGTCTTCATTCGAAATTTTTATTGGTCCACCTTGAATCTCTAACTTTGACAACCTACTCCTCCTCACTCCTTATCCTGTCCTAGGCTAGTTGTTTGGCTTCATGTAATCCTTGGTTAATGAATATTTTTGTTTGATCTACAAAACGCCTTGGAGATCTTCCCCTAGGTCTCTTTCCTTCAACTCTACCCTCGACTATTAGTTTTTCCATACCCCTTCTTCTAGCAATGTGTCCAAAATACTGCAAATATCTATTTATGCATTTATATATCTATGTGTATATTATCTATCTATGTATTTGTTTAAGCAATCTATTCTTTACTTTAAGTTGTTCTAATATAGATACGTAGGTCCGATGATCAATCCAGGATATTCTTAACATGCGGCGGTATATCCCTTAACACCTGTTATTAGGGACCCCAGGCATATGAAACTATTTACTACTTCAAAGCCCCCAATTTCTTTAATGTGTTGAAGATTATTCCGATCTCTGTATACTATCATGATCTTTGTCTTACTCCTATTTTGCTTAAGTCCATATGTTTTGCTATTTTTCTCCAGAAATATCATGTCCTCCATTTCTTCTTGATCTTTCTTGATTATTCAAGTGTTATCAGCATCACTCAAGTTACTTATTTTTGGACCTCCTACTGATATTCCACCCTTTCTTTTGTCTTTTATTAAAAAGAGTTGGCGAGATTATGCATCCCTGCCTGACACCTGCCTCTGTTCTGAAATAATCGGAATGGGTATTGTTTCTTTTTACTGTGCACTTATTATTTTCATATAGACTTCTAATTAGTTGAATTAAGTGGTGGGGTGTTCCCATTTCCGCTAGTATGGACTATAGCTGCTGTCATTTGACTTTATCGAAGGCCTTTGTGTAATCCACAAAGCATATAAGCATAGAAAAAGACGAAATTTATGATTATTTAAAAAAAAAACAAAGATTGAATGAAAACCTGTACATTCACAATAATGGAATCGAACGGGTGCACAAATATAAATATTTGGGAACAAGTGTTAATAACAACAATGACATCACAGAAAAAATAAAAACTAGAATTGGAATGGCTCGAGCTGCTTTTGTTAATATGAAGAACATTCTGGGAAGTCATTACATTAACTTAAACCTGAAAATGAGATTGGTTAGATGCTACATCTTTTCGATACTGCTGTACGGAGTGAAGACTTAAACATTAAACAAGAGCAATATCGATAAACTAGAGGCCTTCGAAATGTGGATATATAGAAGAATTTTGAAAATACCTTGGACAGACAAAATAACAAATAGTGTAGTTCTTCGAAGAATGAACAAAGAACCTGTTGATCACCACCAAAAGAAGAAAGTTGGAATATCTTGGTCATGTGATGAGAGGGAGAAAGTACCGATTGCTTCAGTTAATTATCCAAGGAAAGAATTAGTACAACCAAAGCATGGGGAGACCACGTATATCTTGGCGCAGCCAAGATATACGTGGTCAAGATATCTTGCCAAGTTTAAGAGACTGGTTCCAGTGCACATCTAACCAATTATTTAAAGCAACAGCTTCAAAGATACGAATAGCAATGATGATTGCCAAACTCCGTAACGGAGAAGGCACTTGAAGAAGAAGATAGGATTATTGAATTCACTGTCATCCAGTGTTTTGTCTCTTGATGATCTTTTTTTCGGTTCTGATTCTTTCTACAGAGGTTTCTATGGCATTTCTGAAACACAGAAACACATTTCTTCTAGGTTGTCTTGTGTGTTCAACAAACATACTAGTTTCATTTAATGCATCTCAAAATCATCATTTCTTATTAATGCATTTCTTATTTGAAATCTCCAGCCTGTTTTGATTTTGGTGCGGCATTATTCTTTTTGGCTTTATCAGAAGCAAGCATATGACAATTTATGTCGGATCCACATTCAGCTCTTGGTCTAGTTTTTACGTTTATAAAACATTTCTTCCATCTGTTTCTAATCAATATGTAATCGATTTGGGTATTCTCCATTTGGGCTGGTCTACGTCGATAAACGATGGGCATGATGTTTGAACATTGTGTTTACAATGGCCAAATTGTTTTCGGTTGCAAAATCTATTTAACGTTCGCCTTGGCTGTTTCTAATACCTAATCTAACACTTTGACAACATGGGTATACTTTTTATATATAATGTATATTATTATATTATATTATAAATAATGCTTACTTGTTCCCTAAATCAACGGTAGCTGATTGTAAAAATTGTTCCCCTAGTTCGTCGGCTACAAAAGTTGGTTTTATATGTAAAATTCCATTTGAAGTATAGCTGTTGTTTCTGCTGTTTGTATACCATTCAAATTCGTTGTTCTGTAAACATAAAGAAGTCAAATAGTAATAATGCAAATACAATACACTGTGTCAGTAAAGTATGGAACAAATTCTTTTTTAGCTAAACAGAGCATTTTAAAAAATAATCCTAAAACACATCGATTTTTGATTTTAATTTATTATTATTCTAATATACAGGGTGAATTATTTTCGAGTAATGACGTCACCGTCATTTTTTTTAATGGAACACCCCCATTATGTCTTAATTTTCGGATTACTTTAGCTGAGTTGATTACAAAAATGTATCACATCTTGATTCAAATTGGTACAGGGTGGACAAAAATACAATAGTTTTGTGTGTGTTCATAAAGTAACGCGTTAGTAAAATTAACAATATTATCAAAAATACTTATTATCTAGCGGACAGAATATGAAAGAAATACATGACTTTATAAATGTTCGAACTGCAGTCCTTGCTTCGTTTCGTTCGGTTTCGTTTGATACACAACATTCTTCAGATAGCCCCACATAAAATAATCCAAAGGATTGAAATCTGGTGACCTTGCTGGCCATTCAATAGGTCTACGTCTACCAATCCACTTGTTCGGAAAAAATTTCATCTAGATACTTTCTAACATCTACAGCATAATATGGAGGTGCACCATCCTGTTGCAACCATATACTTTCATCAAAACCTCCAGGATTACGTCTGCTGGGAAACAAATTACGTAAAGTAGGTGAGAGATACCCACTTAAAAACTCAAGGTACGTTGCTCTGTTTAAATTACCTTCAATAAAGTAGGGTCCGATGATTCGATTTCTTACAATTACAGCCCATACATTTACCTTTTGCGAGTATTGTGTATGATGCTCACGCATCCAGTAGGGGTTTTCTTTTGCCCAGTATCTACAATTCTGACGGTTAACCTCGTCATTTAACGTGAAAGTGGCCTCATCAGAAAAAATAATGTTTTGTACCAAGAGAGGGTCTTGGTGGCAGTTATCCATCATTGCTTCTCAAAAGTGCATTCTTCTATCGGGATCATCTTCGTTTAATTCCTGCACAAGTTTGATTTTATAAGGATGTCATTTTTCAAGCTTTAATAGCTTGTGTACCGTTGTTTTGCTAACACCGATATTGTGAGTAACTTTACGCACAGAAGTGCGCGCATCTTCTTCAAGACTATGTAGAGGTCATGGATTTTAACAAGAGCTACGAGTCATGCCGATTTAGTACACAAGTTTACCTGTTATTTACAAGGTCACGGCTCTTGGCAAAATCCATTACCTTTAAAAACATCTAATGCTGTATCAGCATTTGCAGACGGACGACCTGATTTCCGTGCATTTTCAACCGTACTAGTTTTCTCGAAATTTCTTTTCAATATCACTGACTGTTGAACGCGTTATAGTCTTTCTGGATATTTATCATTAAACAAATTGCACACTTCTATCTGAGTTCGCGATCTGTCTTCATACCCAATCATCATTAATACTTCAATTCTTTGCTTTACACGTAACTCCATTTCTAGTTCAAATTAAATCTAAGCAATAATTAAAACATTCACAAATACCAAAAATATTGTAGTACTAAACTGTCACTGCATATCAATAAATTACTAAACAAATAATGACATTTAACAAAAACATAGCCTATTTCTCAAGTCTATAAATATTTCTCAAGACACAATAAACAAGGTTCAACAAGAATTTGTACAACATTTATGTTACTGTCAAATACAACAAGGGTTGCAGTTCGAACATTTATAAAGTCATGTATTTCATCATATTCATAAGTATTTTTAATAATATTGTTAATTTAACTAAACGCGTTACTTTATGAACACACATAAAACTATTGTATTTTTGTCCACCCTGTACCAAAATGTGATACTTGTTTGGAATCAGCTCAGCTAGAGTAATCCGAAAATTGAGACCAAATGGGGGTGTTCCATTTAAAAAAATGACGGTGACATCATTACTCGAAAGTAATTCACCCTGTATATTAGAATATTATTTTAAAATACGGTAAATTAAAATTAAAAATCGATGTGTTTCAGGATTATTTCTTAAAATGCTCTGTTTTGCTAAAAAAGAATTTGTTCCATACTTTACGGACACAGTGGATATTTAGGTTATTATGAAAGTTCGACATTGATGTTTGTCGACATTCACCGGTGTGAACGAGAAAAAGTTTTTCTTTATAAAAAGTTCTGCGTGTTTTAAAACCTCAAGTACAATCATCAAATACCAATTTTTTCAGTCATAATATACTTATTTTGGTTTGCCAATTCTCAATCTGTCAATGTATTGTATAGTAAATTCGAACAGCGAATGACCGTACAGCGACAATGTATAAAGATTAGCAGATTTGGCTTTTCCCCTAATCTAAAACTTTTTTTAATATATTTAAATGTATTTCAAAGCAAAATATATTCATTTTCTTCAATTAATATCTTGTGATTTCCAAATTAAATTATATACCGCAGATGCCAGAGACAAATACGAATAATAAATAAGGTTATTTCAACTATATATTATATTTATGTATGTTATTTTGTTATTTAGCAAATAAAAATGAATTGCAAGGCTTTGAACTCGGATGATACTGTGTGAATAACAGTTCAAGGTTAGAACTGGAAGGATTATTAACAGAACCAAATTATAATAATGATCATTTTTAGGAAATCCCATCCAGTTTGCTGCAGGTTTGTAAATTAATTAGCTCATTTGCGTATATATGCTTTATTTTGATAACCCGGAGAATGTGGTCGACACTCTAGGAAAATATTCTTATTTAATACAGCCTCAACAAATCAACATATAACATATATGTTGATAAATAAATAAACATTAAAAAATACATTAATTTTCTTTTATACTTCAAAAATTAAAACTGCTGGTTTTTGTCTATTTAAGATGACATTGCTGCTTTTGTTCCTGCAAAACCGTTAGCAGATTTTTTTGAAATAAAGCCGACTTTAGTTTTTGTAAACCAAAAACTGTAGTTATAATACTTTACAATAATGTTAACTTCTGTTTTATGTAAACTACTCTTTATTGTATCATTCAACCACCGTTAGTTTATTCTTTCAATATAAAAATGTTATCAATTTATGCCAAAATTTCACCTTCGTTCGATAACAGTTACAGTGTGTTCCGAAAAAATGTTCTTCATAAAAACGCTTTATATTGCATTTATACAAATTAAATGAAAACATATTATTGTGTATTTCTTTAAGTTAACATTAATAGAAATCTTTAAATATTAAGTATTTCTACGCGTATATAATAAAATATGTCTAGTGGCTGTAATGCAAGTGTACTCGGCAAAGTGATTCTAAAAAAAACACACCTACTTCCTAAATATTTCGTGTTGGTACCATGTGACGTCACGGGCTATGACGCCGATGACGTGCATCAGTATGTAAATTAGATGAAGTATATGTTAGTTTACAACTGAAGTAAGTTACAAGTCGCAACAATAATGAAGTATGTTCCAAGTTACTTCACTTTTATTGTGGCAAAATTGTAAGAGCTTATGTTGCATATTGTATAATCCCGGTAAGTTTTCATGTCGTTAATTAAGTTGTTTTGAGGACCTTACAATATATTAATGAGTATAGGGAACTATTTTGTTTATTTTTGCGAGTATTTTGGTTAATTATGTTTACTAAACGTTTTAAATATGTTATTTTATGTACAGGTTAAAGTTATGACGAAAATATAAATGATCATTATGACCAGCAAAAGTTTCAAGCAGACCCTGAACCCGCTAAGGCTAGAAAAAAGATTACTCATTAAGGAAAATTTGAATGTTAATAAAAGAAAAATGTAAGGAAATAGAGGTAAAGTGTATTTAAATAAAAGGGGTATATAAAAAATGAGAACAAAATTGAAAATATTGATTGCGGATGGCCAAAAAAAGTTTAACTCTATTTAAAGAGGATAAAAGAAAAGAAATATTTGACTGTTTTTGTAATTTAAAAAATTATTTTCTTCACAATTCATATGTGTATGCATTGGTACAAAAATCAACAATCGAAAGAAAACCGTCCAATAATAGTTCACGAGTTGGAAAAAATTTTCATTTGAAGTATTTTATCAAGTCAACTAATGAAACCCGATCTGTCTGTAAGAAATATTTTTTAAAAACGCAGACGGTATCGTAACGTTTCGAAAGATAATGTGTCATAATATACTGATAAACGAGGTACAACAAGTTCCAGAATACTTAATGATTCTGACATTGTAGCTCACATCGAAAGTTTTCCTTCCTACCAAAGCCATTACACGAGAAAAATATCCCTAACAGAAAGTATTTAAATCCAGGACTAACAATACGAAAAATGTATGATCTTTATAAAGAAAAATGTGAGATTGTTAGGAAAGTACCTACGAAATTAAAATATAATAAAGTTTTTAACACAAAATACAATTTACATTTTAAAATGCCACAGCAAGACACTTGCAAAAGTTGTGATGACCTTAATTTAAAAATACAGGGAGCTGGCGATGAAAATGCTAGGAATTAATTTGAAACACAAAGAGAACTTCACCAACGAAAGACAGATGCAGCAAAAGAAAGTCTGAAAATGATTCAAAAAGAACCTATTTTTTTCCTGTACAACATTTCGCAAATGCCATAATATCTACAAATTCAATTTAATGGAGTTACACCACTTTTACAATGAACGGCACATTTAATAATGACGAAACAGGATTACAACTGAATACAAGAATTGGTCAAGTTCTAGCTGAACAAGGTCCAAAATGTGTTCCTAGCGTAAGCCCTGGGAAAAAAGGTGAAACGATTAGAGTATTAGCATGCTGTAGTGCAGACGAGATTTTTTTGCAAACATATTGCATTTTTAAGGGAAAAAATAAAAAAGACTAGTGGAATTATGGTATGCCACCGGGTTTTTAAAATTAGGATGTTGAAAAAATCAGCATACGTTTACAGTGACTTCTAGATTGGCTACAATAACTCACTAACACACTTCTTGCCGAGAAAGCCTACAGGTAAAATCTTATTAATATTAGATGGCCACACATCCTATACAACCAACCTGGATCTATTAGAATTTGCAGAACAAAACGAATTAATTTTGTTTTATTTACCAGCAGTTAAAATTTTTTTATTGTTTATTCTATTTCATTTTTATATTTATAATTGAAGACATGAGTTGATAAAGGCGCTATGTCCATTTTTTTTTCAAAAAATGACTTATTTGTATATTTGGTTACCTAAAGTCGTAATACAACCCCTGAATAACTCAAGATTCTTAAATTGTTAATAATAAGGATTATTTTAATTGATAAAGGTACTATGTCCCATGACTAAGTACCCTTTTTTATTAGATAAAGGTGCCATGTCCATATTTAAGAACATAGCACCTTTATGCACTAAATAGCGGGAAAGTTTTATTTACTTGGTAGGTGCCATGTGACATTTTAAGGTTATGTTTGTTTTTTATCACATCTTTCAACATGGGTTCGAGAAGTAAAAGAATGTTAGAATTAGTAAAAAAACAAGAAATGAAATAGCAAGTTGTTTGCTACGATTTTGTCTGCTTCTTAAAGAAGAAAATCCCCAAATTGATCATTTAAACATTTGGTCAGATCAATGTGGGGGACAAAACAAAAACTTCTCCATTAGTAACCTTTTTCAATACCTAATATTAAATAAAATATTTAAGATCATTGACCATAAATTTCCCGAAGATGGTCACAGTTACCTTGACTCTGACAGAGACTTTGGAAGAATAGAAAAGGTTCTTAGAAAACATCAGAATATTTATATACCAGACCAATATCGGACAATTATTAGATCTGCGAGTAACAAACAAAGTGTATGCCTTAACATGGAACATTTTTTTATTGCTTTGAAACTCTACCTGCAAAACTTCATTTAAACAAAAGACTCACTAATAGTCTTGACCAAAACATAAATTTTCGAGATAAAGTGAAGTGGCTAAGAGTAAGTTGTTTTGGAAAATACTTTTACAAAACTAGTTTAGATCCGTTTGCCCCATTTATGGAAGTTGACTTAGAAAAAAAAAGAGAACTGTTAGTACAAAGTAATCAAGTTGTTTTATAAAAGTTACCTAAATGCGGTGGTTTGACTTCTGAAAAAATTTCAAATCTACAAGATCAACTTACGTTTATTCCAGTAGAGTATAAATGGTATTATGATATTGTTTTAGAAGAATGTTTGAAAAACCCTAAGAAAAAACGTAATTCATGTTAAATTTAAATGTTTCTGTGTCTTTGTTTATAAATTTTTAATGTATCTTACTTTGCTTTTGTTAATCTGCCAATCCAATTTAATTTACAGATTATTTAATAGTTTTTTTTTATCTTTTTAAAATTTAAATACAACATAGGTGACATAACACCTTTCTCTACTCAAGTTTATACCAACATCTGCATAAAATGTTGGTTGATTAAGGTGCTATGTCCATTAAAATTAAAATTACTAAAAAAGTTTAAATTCTAGAAAAACAAAAAATATTATATAAAAAAGTAAAAAAAGATTCTAATCTAATAAGATATTGGTAATTTTTATAAAATTTATTAAAAAAAATATATAAGTGAAAACGCGTTTCCTTCAATTACTCAATATCTGAAAAAGTGGACATGGCACCTTTATCATCTCATGTCTTCAATTAAGGGACTTACTAGTTCTTAAGTCAATCTTAGAAATTTTTGTATACTATGTTTTAGGCTAATTTTTGCAAAAAATGGGTTGTGGGCTTTTTGTATAAAAAAATAATTTTTTTCTCATAAAATCGTTATGGTTTTTAACTTCTTTTCTTTTTTGGGTTTCTTTATGCTTTTAAATTCGAACTCTACACATCGGAAATGCCGATTGTTTAGATATTTAGTTCTATTTTAAAATTAATATATATACCTTTAAATAATGTTTACAGCTGTATGTAAGATAAATTAATTATGATTAGTATCAAAGAGCGTTGAGCCTTGAAGAACGTAATATAAATCAGTTACTACATATAATGCATTACTTACTCCACCTCCAGCTAAAGTATCTTCGTGTTTCCATTTATCTAAATTCAAATCGTCGAAGTTATCTTCAAATATAAGATCACCTGAACATATATTTTTGGGCGCAAAGGGTCCACTAGCCGTCGTCACACTTCTTCGACAATAAGAGTTCACTTTACAAAACGCCACTAACACGAAGACAAGAAGTACTTTCATCATGTTGTGCGTCGGCGTCGTTCTTTGCACAAAGTATTGGATCTAAGTGATCAACATTTATATACCTTGCTGCACTAAATAATATCGATATGATGCATAATAATGAGGTCGGGATTAAGTATTTGGAATTACCACATAAAATACACAGCATGTTTGACTTATTGAACTATAAAAAGTTGTTTTTCAATATTATTTATCTTAATAAACATTTTACTCATCAAATAAAATTTGAATTATTAGTTTTGCATTGTATTTAAGAATGTATTGATTTCTAAAAATATATTCAACCAATAAATTGTATTAAAAATATATATTGACATTATTTTTTTTATTTATTTGGTTAATCTCGTTCGAAATACTGAGGTTATTGACGACAACAATGGAAAATACATATTAAAACAAAGGAAGGGTATAATAATAATTATATACTAACATGCAAGAAGATTGATATAGGGGAAGGGCGGGCAAGATGGCATACTTAGTTTATTTTCCATATATCTGAGACATAAATAGAGATAAATCATTCCTTTTGATTTATTTAAAAAAAAAATCAAAATGTAACAAAAAACCATTTTGCCCGCCTAGTGCAATACACAGTAATGGCATACACATAAACAATAGTGTTAAATACAAAAATAATTATAAATTTTTATTTTTACGAAGAAAAAAAATTAAAATTAAACATTTTAGTTCATACAAAGTTCGCAAATAAATTGTTTTGCTTTTTTGGGAAGTCCAGCACATTCTGAATGTGACCAGTTTTGACAAATTTGGCACCTTAACCATCCTTCATTAGATTTGGACCTACTAAACGTATCATTGCAGTAAATGCAAGCGCAGCCCTCTTGTTCATCATCATCAATACTAAAGGGTTCTTCTTCATCACTTGATATATTGTTCAGTATTGGTCTGATCACAATATTTCTCTTGCCTTTTCTCTCCGACTGATGTCTATCTTTGTTCACAATGCGTCTCCCATCACTTAAATCATTGACTATTTTTCTTTTCACGACCTCTCCTTTTCTGCTTTTTATTTCTTGTGCTTTTTTTTTCATTTTCTTTTTCGCGAAGATATTTCAGGAAGGGGCTCTCGGTTAATACATCTTGGTATTGACCAGATTTACGTTTGGTAGATTTTCTTACATTACTCTGAGGTACCGGTGCCAATTCCATCAGGATTCCTTCAATCGATTCATCTTTAGAACCAGATGCCCATGATTCTTGGACATCATGATGATCGTAAGTTGCAGCGTGAGGAACATTAACATCAGCAGGTAAAGATGTAAAAGCAATGTCAGGTTTATTAGTAGAACCAGGCACATCTGTAGTTGCACTAGGCAAAAATGCATGCTCCGGAAAAATGTCACGATTTGTAGGTGATATTCCTGTGGCCCGAAAACCATTTATTGAGAATTTAATATTTGATGTTTTCTCATATGCTTTCTGGAAGAGACTGGACACTTGATATATGGTTATTGCACGACCAGGATTTTCTCTAAGCCAATGAGTATCAGCTTGATTATAATATTTATGGAGTGGTCCGAAAAAGTGTGCCGGCAGGCAAAGTAATACCACTGAATTCTGTTTAGCTAATTCTAAAGTTCTAAAATCATTAAAGTTGAAATGGGAATACGCTGGACATGTAGCTAGGAGCGTTCTAAACAAATGGCACAGATCAATTTTAACCTGGAGACCATACCAACACAAAAGACCCAGAGGCAGGCCTCCTATGAGATGGACAGATGATCTGAAAAGGACTGCCGGGAAAAATTGGCTACAAGTAGCGTACAATAAAAAACAATGGAAAGAAAGACTTAAAGAGGCTTATGTTCAGATGTGGACGTGAATGGCTAGACGAAGAATTCTAAAGCTTCGTAGCTTTTATGGCTGGAGTGTCCGTCTAAAATTAATAATGGTTTCTGCGCAGGATTCGGCCTGACATGGTCAATGAAATGTTGCATCCACCTTATGAACAAATCTCCGGTCATGTATCCTGATTCATTATGCAATTTTAATATTCCTACAGGTGCGCCGTCATATAAAAGTGGGTTAAATCTTTTTCGGGTGAAAAGTATTGATGGTGGTACGTAAGTTCCTCCAGAACTCATGCACACTACAACTGTTGTGTGTACACACCTTTCTGCGCTCGTGATAGAGCCCACTTGTTTTTTTCCTTTCTGAGCAAAGACTTTTGGCGGAACTTGGACGGTGGTCAAGGCTGATTCGTCCATGTTGAATATCATGGTATTTTGAATTTTGTGTTCTTCAACAACTTCTTCTAACTTATCAAAAAATTTACCTGAAGGTTATTGAATGCCTCGGCCCGTGCAAGAGACGTAGCTTCTGGAAGACGTAATGATAATTGCGGATTTCGTTGGCGAAAAACATGCAGCCATCCTTTGATAGCCATCTTGGTCACTTTATTGAACGGATAATTAATCTTCATTTTCTCTGCAATGCTATAGGCTAGCTTGCATAAGTTTGCTCTTGTCACGCCAAAAAACTCGGATTCAAGATATAGAATGTGGGCAACTATTGCAGTCTTCATATCTTCGTTTAAAACTGTTGCCAGGGAACCCAAATGTTTTTTTGCTTCAATGGCAATTTTATTTTTATTACCTGCTCGACGTCGTAGTGTTGAGAACGGTACATGAAATGTATTATTTGCTTTAAGCCAACCCATTTCGGAATTTCGGAGTGCCTTCAAAGCTCTTTGCACGTCTTCCTCACTTCAACTATTTCTGTTAGACTTCCTTTTATATGAATAAGCCATCTGCAAAAAAAAACTAAATATGTACCTGAAAAACAGACGGGCAAAATGGCATAATATGTTATTTTGCCCGCCATAATGCTATGCCATTTTGCCCGTTTTGTATTGGCCGACTACTAATAGTTACCAAGTGAATTCAAAAAGCTCTATAACCTTAATTTAATAAATTATTGAATAAAACTTACATTGACGCATCGAACTTGACCAGCACTTATTCACAAATACATCAATCTCGTGACCGGCCGTTAAATTAGGTGCACGAGACTTAATGTGGACAGTGTTGCCACTGTTTATAATAAGTATCCAGAATTGCGGTGACGTAGAACCATTAGCTTGACTACGAGAACAAAAAACCATTTAGCCCGCCTATGCCATTTTACCCGCCCTTCCCCTATGTAATTTGTGATATAAACTAGATTTTAATTTAAATATTTTTTATGCCTATAGTCGTTAAAAACTTTATAATATTGTTTAGATGATTATTGTCTCTAAGAAGCTCGCCTATGTAGCTGGGAAGGTTGAGTTTACTTCTCGTTTACTGAAAATTTGACATTCGGTTAAAATATGTTTTACTGTACTGTTGGTTTGACACTGGTTGCAGTATGAGAGGTTGTTTTTTTGTGATTCGGTTAATATGTGTTTGGAGGGTGTGACCAAGTCGGAGTCGAGTAAAGATCACTTGTTTTTTCTTAGGTAACAAAAAGACTTGTTTTTGTAAGGCATTGTATTTAATTTGACTTAGTTTTTCGGAACATTGCGACCATTTGTTTTGCCACGCACAGCTAAGATGTTTTGAAAATGATTGGTATTTACAATTGATTTATAAATTTTATATAACTGATACGACTATTTCGTAATTCGATAACATTTTTCTCTTGCTAATTTTTGATTTCCTATAGGTACCTTTTTATGATTTTTTTAAATTTTTTTTTACATTCTTTTAGTTTTTGTGTGTTTCCGTAAAAGTAAACATGAAAATTTTGCCTTTTTTCTATTTTTCAGGTTAAGTCCACCAAAAATTTGCATTTTTAGGGACCCTCACTATCACATCTAACAATTTAAATTAATAAAGAAGTTAATAACTAATGCATTCAACTAAATACAGCATAAAACGAAATAAACTATAATCTATATGTATGTATGTATACTATATGTAATAACATAAGTTAATAACAAATGAAATACAGATATATGAATCCCTTAGAAACAGAAAACGGAAATGATACTCATTATCATTATTCGTTTATGATTGTACTTGAGAACTAATATTTTCACAATAAACAATATATTTGAAAAGTGTGGCAACATTGGATCAAGAAGTATCTACTACGCACACGCACATCATTGACAGCAGCTGTAATGGCGGCGGCATCTTGAAATTTATGTCAAAATATCAATTTTTTAAATGCGAAATACAGAAAAACTGTAGCTCAGCGTAAAAAAATGTATAGATTGAAAAGTAAATAAAAAATAAAACATAATCCACTGTCCAAATTTCAGACTAATCCGACTATCCTCACTAATGTAAGTAATTACCAAAATATTTTTTCTACGGCATAGGGGAAGGACGTCGAAGATGACGCACCTAAGCAAAATACATTTTATTTAAGGGTAAAAAATATTTAAGCTAACTTTTAATGCTACGAGCCTGTAATTTGGACATTTCTTTAACCAATTTCTCGGATTATTTTTAAATTCAATAAAAGGAAGTATTTTTTATGCGGCTTTTTTAAAAAAACGCTTTTGCGCCATCTTACCTTCCACCGAGGGAAAGATGACGCACAGTGATGGTGAAGATGGCGCATGTAGGTATCTATATTAAAAGGGCAAGTGATATGAAAATTTATTTTTTAATACTGAAAGTAAGAAAATGTAAACAAAGCTTTTTTAACATATTAACAAAAGTCACAAATGTAGTTTTCGGGACTTTTGGCTCCACTGCATTCTTTATGCACCCATTGTCCACAACTTGTGCATCTGAACCATGTTTCCGTCTTTTTGCCGAAGTCTCCACATAATATGCAGATATCAGTTTCACCTCCCTCGTTGATTATGTCATCCAACTCATCGTCATTGCAAAGACCTTCTTCATCAAAATCGCTTTCTTCAAAGATTTTTTTGTTTATTTTTTGTTTGATTATTTTTTGTACTTTGACTTTCCCTTTATTTTTATTTAGTTTTAATCCTGCATCATTAACCAATACTTGTCTGGTTACTTTTTTCTTTCCTTCTT